CCTTCAGAGCGCTGGGACTGAGGGTGTGCACCACCTTCAGAGCGCTGGGACTGAGGGTGTGCACCACCTTCAGAGCGCTGGGACTGAGCGTGTGCACCACCTTCAGAGCGCTGGGACTGAGGGTGTGCACCACTGTGCTGCACAACTAAACAAGAATTTTCTCGTCCACACTACCCTTCATCAGAGTGGATTCTGGAAAGATCACGTTTATCATTAGAGCCTGCCGGTGCCTTAATTCTGCCCTCGAGGGTTTTGGGATTCAATGTCCCTTCCTTTCAGACACTTGCAGCTTTGTTTTTTTGTTTTTTTGTTTTTTTTTCTGAACCAGGGTCTCACGTAGTGGAAACTGGCCTGAAGCTCACTCTGTAGCCAAAGATGACCTTGGACGCCTGACCCTTCTGCCTCCTCTCCCCTGGGATTACAAGCACTCACCATCTGCCAGGCAGTGCAGTCTTGCGGACGGAACTCAGGGTCTCTCGAAATCTAGGCAAGCAGGCTACCAACTTCAGCCCTTCTCCTCCCTGCCCAATATGAATATTTTATTAGTCCCATTGCTACCACATTTCCTGAGGGACGGGGAACTGGTAAACTGTTCCTACCGCACACTCCAGTGTCTCATAAATTGGAGGTACCGGACAGCGCGCTGACCAGAATGAACAAACAGAAAGGGCATTAGGCACACCAATAATCACTGGTGACCTCAGCAATTTTATTAACAAATTTATTTCCTTAATTGGGGAGCATAGCATAGCGGCGGGCTCCAGGGCATTGTAATAAGTTTCAATGCTGCAGAAGAAGACCGTCCTCGTTGGACCTGTTTGCTCTGGTTTCCTCGCTTTCACTGCTCTTGTAAACACTGCCCTGGGTTCCCCCTACCCACACCCAAAATAAATAAATAGAAAGGGGGGGGGGATGCAGGCTATTGGCTCATCGGTTGGTGTACTCCGCCTCCACTGGAAGCTGCGTTTCCAGGTCAGGCTCATCCTGTGGTCACGGGGTGGCAGACTCGCTAATTCCACGCCCCCCCAGAAGTCTGTGGGGACACCTCCCCTCACATGCGTGGGGGGGGGTGTATCAAGGTCTGCCTGGGCCTGTGCTTGTTCACCCATTCATTCATTTTCATTGTTATTCTTGCTTTTTGACTCTGGGCCCCATGGAGCCCAGGAGCTCCTGCTTGCGAAGCTTCAGCCTCCTACTGAGCTACCCCGCCACACCCTGGCCTGTGTTTTTGTCCATTTAGAACCTGAGTACAAGGCGGGTTCACTTACTCCTGCCCCACCTGTATCTCTTCGTAGGAGGTGGGAGGCGTCAGCTGTGCTGCCTGTGGCCTGGCTGAGCCCCACAAGCAGAATACTCCTCCAGACTTCTTCCAGGAGATTGTTTTGTTTCTCTCCCTCGTGGCTGACGGGCATCACTGCAGTGCTGGCCTCTGACCCAGGCTCCACCCTCCTGTGCCCTGATAATGGCGGCTCTTCTGTCTGCTCCAAGAGAAGCTGCACTGCAGAAGATGCCCGGTGAGGGGCGGATGCCTGCGGAGCAGGTTCCTGTGGCAACTGTCAGTGCTGTTTGCCACGCATAGAGACGGCTGCTGAAGGTAGATATGGTTATTACAAAGACACCTACAGGGGATGGAGCTAGGCTACTCTAGCTTGGGTCCCTTTGCAAAATCTGTAGCCCAGAAGATTCCAGAAAGTTCCAAGAACCTTCATTCTCCCTCTCGGAGATCCTGCAGAATCCCGATGAGGTTTTCCAGGCCAAAAATATAGCCAGGATCTGGTCCCTCGTGGGTGGTGTGCTCATTCCAGGAACCCTTGTACGTCGCGTGAGCGAAGTCGATCATTCGGACATCGACTTTGGCAGGGGCACCGGAAGGGCTGCCTTGAGTGGTCTCCTGCCCATCATAGATTATGAGCAGGGAGCTGGAGTAGAAGCGGTAGGAACTCTGGCTCCGAATGACCGTGAGCAGAGCGTGCAGCCTGCGAAGAATGGGCTCCAGGAGCTCCGTGCGTAGGCGGATTCCATTATGGAGGAACTGGGAAAGGGCTTGCCTGAACCCCTCCTCCGAGAGTTTCCTTCCGTAGTATTTGTCTTTGCAGAGAAAACTCTTCTTATCAGTTTGATAAACCTTGCATTGGAAAAGAGAGAGAGAGAGAGTATGAAGAACTGTAAACGTTGATTTTTAAAAAAAAAAAAAAAAGCTTGCCTTGGGGCTGGGGATGTGGCTCAGCTGGTAGAGAGCTTGCCTAGTAGGATTGAATCCCCAGTACTGTAAAACCAGGCATGGTGGTGCAAGTCTGTAAAACCACAATGTAAAAGAAGGAGGCAGGAGAATCAGGAGTTCAAGGTCACCCTCAACCACATAGTGAGTTCAAAGTCAACCTGTGCTAAAACAAATCAAAATTGACCGTGGTCCAGTGGTGGTATCACCACACATTCCCATAGTATGTGAAGTGATTTCCGGGTGATTTGGGGAAGAGTGGTTGAGATGCATAAGAGATGGTCTCCTAGCATGCTCCAGTGTGGCATTTTAAAGGATTCTCTTTGTAGGTCTGGTCTCTCAATCCAATGTCCAAAGATCCTTCATCTGCAGAGGTGACCCTCAGCGCACCACTCCGAGGTTTGGATCGTCTCTCCTGTGAATTTCCAATGTCAACTTCCAAGTCGTGATTTAAATCTTGGCTTCCGGCCGTCTTCAATTCAGATATTAGCAAACCCAAGCTGGAAACCTTCACTAGGAACCTGAAATCGGGCCAATGGACTTGAAGAGCCAGTTCGATTAAGTTCTCTCTAACAAAGTTTGGGTCTTTTCTCACAGATTTTAAGCATTCAGGATGGCTCTTCCAAACCATCCAGGTGAATTGCTCAGAGGTAAAGAAATGGGCTAGACCAGGTGTGGGAGGGGCCTGCAGGCAGCCAGAACAGCTGATGGGGGCCTGGGAGGTGGAAAGAGGTCCATAGCCCGCTTCTGCAAAGAAGAGCTCTTTTCCACAGTCTGTTTCCTGCCTTTGGCATGTCTTGGCCATCAGAAGGGAGCAGATAGAAAAGAGAAGCTGATGGGGACACCATGGTGGCCACACCCAGTCCTCAGACAGCTCAGGGGGCAGTAGAGACGGAGACAAAGCCTAAACAGCCAGCGGCCGCCTGTGCCTGGCTAACTGTCTGAGGCCTGTCTGGTCTTCATGTTACATAATGTGGTTTTTTGTTTGTTTTTAATCAGGAGGCTATAATAGGCTTTTGGGGAACCGGAGATTGGCTGCTAAGTCAGCCTTAGTAAACACGTGGCAGGCGTCACTCTCCAGATAAATCAGGTCACTTGCAGAAGGTTGGAGGTCCGCAGAGAGACTTCATTTACTTCACAAATCATCCTCCTCTGTCCTCTGAGGACCGCATTCCCAGCCTTCCCAGGGACATCTGTGCAATGAATTTATGGACTCAACTTCCAGCTTCAAGGGGTGGCAGCTTCAATTAAGGAAAGCGATAACGTTTGCCGTCAAAGCAGAGCCTGGTTTTGTATTGGATAGACATGCTGTCCAGGGTGGATTCCTGCCTCTCTCCCTGCAGTCCTGCTGCAGCTTCTGCAGCAGTACATAGGTGTGGGACCCAGGCAGTAAGGGGACAAGCCACCCCTGGGTTCAGTGGCCTCTGACCTTCCTTGGTTAACCTAACCGTGCAGCAGAAAGAAGCAGAAAGGCTGGAGCGAGTTGCTACACCCCACCCAAAGGGGACAGGACTCGGCTCCATTGCACATGTGGGTTCAGTAAGCCACCAGATGCATTTTCTCAGCTCCTCTCCAACCCCTGCCCCCATACTGTCATTGAAAGCCCCTCCCAGTATGGGTAGGAGCCACAGGACCACCGCACAAAGTTTTAGCTGCCCCAAATGGTGAGACTGAGCTTTGGACAATCTTCCATGGTGCTCTTTAAAAAACCAGCGTGTGGGCTGGGAATGCAAGGCAGTGGTAGGGTGCTTGCCTCCCCTGCCAAAGCTCTGTGGTTCCATCCCAGCACTATAAAACAAAACAAAAATAACTTAACGCTTGTGTAATCTCAACACTCCAGAGGAGGCAGGAGGACCAGGGGTTCAAGGTCAGCCCACAGACCAGGGGTTCAAGGTCAGCCTTGGCTACTTAAGGAGCATGAAGCAACCTGGGCTGAGATCCTATCTTAAAACAAAACACCACCAACACTCAGCATTTTAGCCTAAAAGGCTTCCCTGCTTGGAAAGTGCCCTAGAGACTGGGCTCTGCAGGAAAGCAGAGGTGTGGGTGGCGGGCATCCGGGCCTACCAGGATGCCAGCCTCTGACCCCTGCAAGCCAGCCCTCTGTATTGACCTACCTGCATGCCACAGATGCGCACGCCCAGGCAGGCTGAAGTACTCTGCGCACACTTCTTCATGTGACGGGCCTTCTTCTCCTCCGACGCATCATCCCCATGCTGCCGGGTCCCCATCTTTAGATCCAGGATGCACGGTTGCTTGTATTGTGATACCACGTTTTCCAGGAGCAAAAAACCTGGATGCACTAAGTCAAGGAGCGCCCCGGCAGGCCTGGGGTCAGGTCAGAGCACCTGAGGTTCCCATTTGCCCTGCCCTCCTGTTTGCAGCTTTCCCCACGAGCCTGGCTATTAAGAGTGCAAGATATTCAGTGGCAGTCTGCTCTAATAAGTCCATTTATTTAGGGGGAGTTTATGAGAACCTTTTCCCATTTTGCTCTGGGGTTGAAATTTAGATGCAGGCATGCAATTCCTGGCAGGCCATGCCCAATTTACATTTTAGGACAGAAAATCACAGGGCTGAGACCTCCGGTCCGCTGAACGTCCGGCACCTTCTGGGACAAGGGGGTTGATGTTCGCCTCGGAGATAAGTTGCAGGAATATTAATTTCAGTGGAATCATTATCCTTCAAAAGCTTCTTAGGGATTAGGGCAGCAGATGTGTCATAGTAAATACTGCAAGAGCAACCGCTGTTTGCAGCAAGCACTGGTATGTGTGTGTGTGTGTGCGTGCATGTCTGTGTCTAAACTGTGTGTGTGCGTGCATCTGTGCGTGCGTGTGTGGCTAAACTATGTGTGTGTGTGCGTGCATGTATGTGTGTGCACGTGCATGTATGTGGCTAAACTGTGCGTGCGTCTGTGTGGCTAAACTGTGTGTGTATGCACGTGTGTATGTGTGTGTGTGCACGCGCTTGGGGGAGAATAGGAAAGGTCTGCCTCCCCTCAGGTCCCTCCATGGCTCTTGGGCTGCAGGTAGAAACAGAAGCGGCAGAATAGATGTTGGAGTGGGGTCAGAACACAGAGACGGCTTCCTGTCCCTACCAAGCTAGCATCACGTTCTCTGCCTCCCCAGTAACCCTGCCCCATCTCTCCTGCTGAAGTGCCAGAGACACGCATGCCAGGACCCAGCTTAGCCACTAGTTGGGTGTCCCCACTCTCTCTGAGTCTTCTTTTGAAGGGATCTGATTTCTTCTAGACCTTGGGCTTGTGGGTTTAGACCCTCAAATCACCCCACATCTGTTCCTCCCTCCCCACTTCTCTTCTTCCGTGTATGTTTGTCTGTGTCTAATGTCTGTCCATCTGTTTCTGCCTCTCTGTCCTCCTCTGCTCATGCCTGTCCCCAGGTATTGTGTGCAGTTGCAAGGGTGGTAAGGATACGGTGCCGTTTGTCCTCTGGGTACTCAGAACACAGGCGGGTCAGGTGGGCTTGGTGACAGTGCAGTCCCCAAGGGTTAAAGCCCCTTCTTTCCACCTGGCTCCCATCCGCACTTTCCTCCTGTGGGGAGGCCTGCATGCTGAGGTGGCAGTCAGAGCTCAGAAGCACCTTGGCTGTGCTGCGGAGAGAAGCGTCTGAAGACAGCCGGGGCAGCAGTAGCCAGAGGCAGGAGAAATGCCTGTGGCTCACTGCTTGGCCTCTCTGGCATGGCCTCTGGCAAAGACCACCCAGAATGCTGCATAGGACTCTCTTACCAAGCCACCAGAGATACCACAGGGTTCCGAGGACATCCCTGCACAAACTGGGTGGGTACTGACATCAGATCACACCAGGCCCAGGTCCTCTTGGGGGCTTTTCTTAAGTGTACAACCTTCAGAGAGCTAGAGCCATTTAGGTCCTCTCAGGGGGACGAAGAATAGGGATGGTGTCGTCACCTGGAATCTCAAGGCTGAGGGGTCTGGATTCATGCCCTGGTGCGCGATTACATCCTTGAGACCTTAGCGTGCCGTACATAGCACAGAGCCCCCTCTGCCTTTTGGCCCCGGCTATGACGCTGAGCCCAGAGCTTAATTAGATCTGCAGCTCCTTGGAGAAGAGGCCGTTGTCACTGTATCCGCTCCCTTTGCTTCCCATAAATGTCTAAAGCCCCCAGGGACCCTGGGAAAGGTTAACTGACATTAGCAGAGGCACCCAAGATCTCTCTGGAGTCCCTAGGTCCCCGGGGGCCTCTTTTGTCCCCTGGGACCCACTCTTCTTGTCTCTTTCCCACAGTTGGCTAAAAAAGCCGACTTTCAAGAGAAATTAGGCATACTTCCTCTCCATAAACTATTCCAAGGTTTCCGGCTGCATACTCTCCCCCAGAGACCTGTGCGGTCTCAGCAAAGCAGGTATTTAATTAAACAAGCTCTGGACACAGGCCCTGCCTGTGTGTTGGTCCATAAGCTAGAACACGTGTCTACCCAACCCTCAAGAAACGATGGAAGAGACACCCCTTCTTTGCAACACTGGCTGTTCACATGGTTGGCTTGTCTGTCCCCTGCTCAGTGGCCCTCACCTTTCCTTGAGTGAGTGTGCCAGCTGAGCCAGGGGACGGGGGCTGCTCCCACTGCTGGCTGTCTGCTGAAGTGTCTGCCAGATGGCTACGGCTCTGGAATCTGGGGAGACCTGGAGAGGCTCCAAGTTCTCCTTCAGTGGGTTGGCGACCAGGCCGAGATGGCCTCTGCTGTCTCTCCGGAGGTGCACTGTGATGGTACCTGCAGGACACAGGGAGGAGGAAAGAACACACAGTCAATGCTGTTGAGATTGATGGCCCTGGGCCGCATCCTTCCCTCCCTAGCTCCTCTCTCAAGAGTCAAGACCAGGATGGCTCTGCCTGAACCTGATCCTGGTCCTCAATATGTTCCTGCCCCCCACCTCCTGGAGCTCACAGAATGTAGCCTGGGGGTGACCTAGGATGGTATTCTTTATCTCTTTCTCATACTTTGCTACATTGTTCTAGAATTGGACTCCCGCCTGTACTCCTCTCCAGTCCCCCCAGGACCAATCCCCCCCCACACCTGGGGGACCTCAGAGCTGGTCCTCCATGAAGGACCCTCCCTGCTCCCCATCTCCCCACCTGCAGGGGGTGCCAATTAACGGAAGCCTGGCCCATCCTCTGCCCCCTCAGCCATCTCTTTCTTCTCCTTTGACATCATCTAGCCAGCTTCCTCCAGGAAGCCTTCCTGAGGCAGCTGCTGGATTCAGGACTCTCCCCACTCAGAGAGTCTTTTCCTCTGCCTTTCCCCCTGGTGCACAGCTGTCGTCTTTGACTGTATACATCAGCGTATGGAGAATTGGGGTACGTGTGGTTCTTAGAGAAAACTCTAGAGTCTTTGAGGTTTCCCTAACATGAGGTACCTATCTCTTGCCACGGCAGCTGGCAATCACAGTAGGAAAATCACTGACTGTGTCGGTGAGAACCTCCCCGAAGCTTATCTACCACATGCTCTGTATTGTCCTCAGACGCTGGTGGGACAGAAAGCTGTCTGTGCTGGGCATTAGCACCACACAGTCACAGACAGTAGAGTCCGTGTCGTAGCGGAAGGGCCTGGCCTCCCTCTGTGGGGCTTGGCATCCAGCAGTACCTGGCTGTTCCCAGGTACCACACCACGGACTTAGCCTCCTGTTCTTTGAGCACAGGGCACAGGTGATTCTGTCCTCCGCTGTTTCTTTCCTTACCCACTTCCCAGCTTATTCACCCTTTGGTGCTGAGGAGCCGACCGTGGGCAGTGCCCTGATGGCTTCCTGTGCTCTCCTTCCTAGTAACTCAGGCCAGTGGTGTCCTGGCAGGGGTGGGAGGGTAAGAGAAGGGAGGTACTTGTTCAGCCATCTGTGCCCCCTCCATGTATCTGTGGGTGAGTCAGGCACTGCTGTGTTCCAATAGGATCTCCTCTTCCTCCCTCCTGTCCTGCATGCCCGAAGGGGCTACATTTTCAGGGTGCCCCCAAGCTTGCTTGACTTTCTGCAACTAGTCCCTTGTGAAAACTCTCTCGACCACCGTTTGTTTCCTGCTGACTGAGATGGAGAGGAGGTGGGCTTGTGTGTTTCTATGTGTTCAATATTTATTTTCTCCCCAGACCCCTTGGTCACCTCCCCAGTAGGAGTGGCTATTTTGCTGAGTAGGCGGGCTGGGCGGGGGGGCTGCTGATCTTCCTGCCTGCATCCATGTAGCCCTTGCAGGTTGTTCCCAGGGTCACTCTGCAAGATCAGCCTGCAACTCTCCAGAGTCCTCTACACTAGCCCAGTGGGCTCCCTGGGCCAGTCCCGTCATCTCAGATTCCTAGTGGCCTAATTCTGCAGCCTAGGAGGGACATTAAGTTCTGTTAGACTCCTGAAAAAAACTGCTTCTCCTCCACCCCTCCCAGGCCCCTGTTTCCTTTGGGCACCTCTGCAGTAGTAATAATGCTGTTGGCGTTTGCGTTTATCTGACGACGGTGTTCATCCTGGATCCTGTCTGTCATACTCATTCGTCCTGTGCCTGAGAGTGGCCAGCTGGGGACATTGCCTCATCTCACTTGTGACTTCTAAATGACAATACATCCATAAGGTGGTGCAGCCGGGCTCAGGGAGTCTGAGCCAAGGTCACACAGCCAGCGTGGAATGGAGTCACTCACCAGGTGGGCGCTGAAGAAGGGATGTGTTAGAACACATTGCCCAGGACTCCACGGAGTGACAGAGATAGTTAGGCTGTGTTTACCTACGCATGCACGAGGGACACTCCTGCTGTGTCCCCAGAAACACAGCTCTGGCCAGTCTGCCTTCAGGGGAGCCCCGTCATCACAGAGGGCATAAGCTTTGCATTTCCAGTTCCTGGGTCCTTGGGCAGGAGGTTGCTGTGTTTGTTCCAGGGAGGAGAACCTTCCAGATCTCAACATGAAGCCTCTATGACTAACTAAAAGCGCTAGCTACCCTGTGCCTGTCCTGGAGGGAGCTTGTGCCCTTCTAGCTGCGTAGTGGGTCCTGGGAGCCCCACTAGCCAAAAACAATGTCCTCTGGGATCTCTTAAAGTTCATGCTCCCATCTGGCAGCCCCTAGCCTTTTCTACTTGAGGGCCTATGGTGACATGCCTGCCAGAAAACACAGTTCTCCGCGGCTTGTGCCCAAGAGGCCTCCCGGGAGAGACGAGAAATGTGACCTTCCCCTGACTGCTCCAGGCTTCATTCCTGTCTGATCTCTTCGGTTCTGAGCGCCTGCATAAATGCCAGTGAGTGGAGGCGCAAAGAACCCCCAACTAATAAAATGCAAAAGTCATTTCCATTTCTCATATTGTCAGGGCCTCGCGACGGGCACAGCGTTGCTGCCGCTCAGTCTTGGCCGTTGATGAACTCACGGTTTGCTGTCTCCTAGCCCTGTGCCCTCCTCCCGCTCTCCCCTCTCACCCAGCACAGCACTTCCCGGGAGCTGACCCCCTGAGATCTCCCTTGTGAACTGTGCTGGGTTGCCTGCCTCTGACCCAGGGGAACTCAGCATCTCTAGGGCTTGGGTTGTGTGCTCTACAGTCAGGGTTTAGACTCTGGAGGCCTGAGATCTGCTTCTGAGGCCCTACCAGAGCCTCAGGGCCTGCCTCAGCTCTTCCCATGCACCTCAGACTGAGGGGCTGCCATCTGGGAGGACATGGTGCTTACTGCCACGATTGGCATGCCCAGAGCATCTCAGCGATTTTGGTTTGACCAAGCAGCTTTCTGAGCCTTGGCAGATAGCGTATCATGTGTTTATTTTTAAGCTTATGAGAACATTCACCGCCACCATCTGTAATATGAATCTGGCCAAGTGCCTGTCCTCATTCACCCAAGGCCCACAAAGCCGACTGAGCGGCGAGAGACACAGCCCCAAGATGGCAATGCCGCAAGCCTAGCTAAGGTCTACAGCGAGCCACTGACACATGACACTTCTCTTTAGAATGACACCCTAGCCAAAATTCTCCCTGGTGCCATGGTGGGGAAGGCATAGGATGGGCTCCGTGGCATGTTGCAGCCACTTCAGAAATGGCCCCTCTTCCCTGAGGAAGATATTCCTAGGTGGGAGCAGAAGGTTATCTATCCTGCTGATATGATGTTCTGAGACAGACTGTCTCCTCCCTCCTGGGGATAGGTGACCCCTGAAATTGACACTCCAGGTAGCTGAGTGGAGGGTGATGGAGCCAAGAACCCACCTTCTAGATCTAAACATCAGGGCTTCAAATCCCGGGCCAGCCTCTCACGGCTGCGGGTGAGCCATCTCTCCCCATCTGTGTCTGCTTCTGAGAGTTTTGAAGTTTGTGTAAACCGGGGTGTGGACACCTCTTGCACGGCCCAGGGTAAGCATGATGGACTGACTGCCACCACTGCTCTTATTGGTTAAAACCAGACACCTCCATTCCTGGTCCCAACTCTACTGCTGATACCCAAGAGTGAACCGAGTACCCTCCGGGATTCTTCACATTGCCAGAGAGTGGGTCAGTATTTCTTCCTCATCAAAGTCTGGCATTGGGGTGCCACCCCAGCCCTCTCTTAGGCCGGTTGGTAGTCATCCATTATCCCAGGGAGTCAGAAGGTCCTCTGCTCTGGCTCACCCCCACTGTGTTTAGAAGCACCCCAAAGGCAAGGCTGACCTAGATCCTGTGGCGTGGATCGTCATTTAGCTACAACCTTTGGCTCGAGGCGCAGGCAGCCCTTAGTGCAGGGTAGTCTGACCTCCAAGTTTCCAGCTTTGCAGGGGCGCGAGTGAAAATGTATCCGGGGAAAAAAACAGTCTTTGATTGTTTGGTTTTGATCTTTTCCTGGACTAGTGCTACACGACACAGGCCCCTCAGGACGCTGGGCAGAGACTATCACTCTCAGTCAGTTCCGGGGCGTACCGCAAGCCAAGCTAGGGTGTGAGGTAGATTCTGCCTATTAAATGCATTTTTCATTTACGGTCTTTTAAACTTACAATGATTATTTGGGGTTGTAACCTTTTTCTAACCAGGGAGCATCTTGTAACTAGAGTTAGAGCCCTAAATAGAAGAGTCCCCAGGAGGTGTCCCCAGGAAGCAGAGGTCTAGAATGGGTGTCTAATACCTGAGAGTACCCTGTCATTCCCACCAGAGTCGTGGTGAGATAGGGGCTCCTAAAGACCTGAACAGACTCCCCGTTGCCTGCGGTAGCCCCCATGGTCTTTCTCAGCTCTAGAGCTGTGTCGAGCAAGCGTGAAACGCTCCCGGCAGGAGTCCACCTCACATAGGACCTGCTACCCTTTGCTATGTTGAGTTCAGTTACAGAGGGACAGACATAAATTCCAGTGGATTCTCTGACAAAATAAGCAGTGGCCTTGGGAGACTGTGGAAAAGGCCAGGTCAGGCAAGGCTGGGGGCCCCAGAGGCAGCCCAATGTCCTCTTCTGTCTCCAGGATGAGAGAGTCAGCCATCTCATCACAGAGACCCAGTGTGAAACAGGTTCAGAAGTCACATCCAGGCCCGTGTTCTGGTCATGCCTAGCAGACTTTCCCATTCAGGTCCACGATGGCTATGATGCCTAGTCCTGACTCCTGGCTGGGTCCTGCTCGACAGGCCTGGAAAGGAACCCAGGAGCCCTGATGAAGCCCATGCTTGGAAGGACTGGTGCAGACGCATCTGGTCTTCCCAGTTGTTTTGAGCACTGAAATGCAACGGGTTTCTTTCTGTTCTGAGCCTTGAACTTGTTGTATAGCCAAGGGTAACCTTGAACTTCTGGTTCTCCTGCCTCCACCTCCTGAGAAAGACTACCACAGCTATGTGCCACCACGCTCCAGCTGGTGCACTGCTAGGGATGGAGACCAGGTCTGCGTGCGTATTAGGCAAGCACTTTTTGGAAGACTGAGGAATGTCACTGGTCACTGGTCCCCACAAGCGGGTTTCTGATGGCCTTATTTTTCATAATTGTCACCCTTGCAGGATCTTTGGCAACGGGGCAGCATCTCTCAGTCATGAAAAACTAAGATTCTTTAGAGGGTCATGTCCTGGTGTGTTTGTTTGGGGTCACCTGGCCATCAACTTTGCAGGACCTCATTTACCAACCCCTGAGTGGGGGACCAAACCCCTACCTTTGGATCTGGGCAGGGGTCTCAGACAAGAAAGTCAACAGGCACAGCCCTTCCCACCACCACCTTGTGCTTGGCTCCAAGACATGCACTGCCATGCAGCAGTTTCCCCAGCTGCACACACTGGAAGGAAGCCTGGCCTTTGCCCTGCCTGTATGGAATGGGCATGCTGGGCTCTAACCAAGTCATGTACCAGATTCTCCATGTCCTGTCTAGGCTGGGTATCCAGAGGGAGGCCAAGGAGGCCTAACTTGGTCTTATGTTTAGCACAGTCAAACACGTCACACTCCCAAAGAGCAGAGTAGAATATGCCATCAGGACCCACTAGGACTGGGCATCCCTCGATACCATTCCCAATGCTTGGATGTGGAGTGACTTGACTTATCCCCAAAGTCATTAACACTCACAATCTGGAGGCCTGGAGGAATTCTGAGACACGCTAGCACAGGGACCCTGGCTTCCGGAAAGAGGACTGTCCTCATCATACAGCCCTTACACCCCGTGCCCGCTGACAGCAGCTATGAGTGCCAAGCCTGGACCCAACCACTCACCTTTGTACTGCGGGGTAAAACACCTCATGGCCAGGGGCAGGGACTCGTAGAACTTCTGCTCTTGGGAGTTAAGGGGCTTGCAGACTGTGTGTGCATCGTACTGCAGCATGCTCAGGTGGCCGCCAACCTGGTGCAGGAAGGGCTCCAACGGCACACATACCCCATTGCTCCCTGTGTCAGTGCTGTGTAGCACCACCATGGCACCGCCAAATCCGCTCACGGGAGGCAAGAGACAGAAGCTGCTGCCCCCACCAAGTGGGCTGTCCGTGGTCCCCGGCTTTCTGTCTTGTGGTCTTTACTGCTGTCCCGTACAGGTGATTCCTGACAGGTCACTTCTCTGGCAAAAAAAAAAGGAAAACAGAAATTATATAGAGAAGGAGGTATGATGGGTGTGTCACCCATGGGCCCTAAAATAAGATGGCACATAGCCGTGTATTGCTCCTGAAATAATCTGTCACGAGAAACTGTGGTCTGATTCCATGGATCGAGACTGAGAGGGAGACTTTAACCACATTGTGCCCTTTGAATTTAAATATTAAAACTATCAGACAACCCACACAAATACGAGTGTCCAGGCTCAGGGTCTAGTCCTGACTTGAAGCATCCATCTCTGCGCAGGCGAGGAGAAGCAGAGCTGCTGGCTGTCCACCCCGACAGGATTGCTTTATGTCTCTAGAGCAACTCTATGCTCCTGCGATTTGTGTTCTCCTTTATGATTGGCACACACCGCTGACTGCTGTGTGACCTTGGGCAGGTTACTGAAGCCCTCTGGGCCTCAGTTTCTCTGTGTGGCAGGACAGGAGGTAGTGTCAGGGACAGGATTAAGACAAGGACACAGGCAGATCCCTGAGCCCAGCGCCACCATCTCCTTTGTGCTCCCTACGTTGGACTTGCCTCACCTGGAACTCCGGAAAACCAGTTTCTAAAGTCATTCTGACTTTGTCTCGGAAGAGTGCCAAGGAGACAGTGAGGGGTGGCTCTTCTGTGGAGTGTCTGTCCCCTCTGAGAGGACATTCCCACAGCAGGGCCCTCACCACAAGTTATTAATACCTTTCTCCCTCTGCTGGACTCCTGGCTACCACGTGACTGGGCAGTACTGGGCATCATTAACCCTCTAATTGACCTTCACTCCAGGCCCTGGGCATGGCTGGCTGACTCCGCACATGGCTCTGCCTAGCACTTTGCTCAGGACCTAAGCTGAGAGAGGCTTGCCAGCTGCCCGGACTGCCAGCACGCCACAGGCTGGAAAGCCCAAGTTGGTCCTATCCCCGTCCCCGCACAGGCTCCCCGTACCTGCCATGTCCTCCAGGACACAGTGTATTCCTGTTGGAGGGGAAGGGGATGGAGGCTCTGCCTGGCACCTGTACATTTGCTTAGGATGTCGAGGTGGCAGGTGAGGCGTTGGGGGAGATAAGGGCAAAGGTCTAAAGCAAGGGACTGGTCCAGGAACTTCAGAAGGCCCTTCCAGAATCTTGAGATAGAGAGAGACGTCTGGCATGTGTCGGGGGACGGGGGAGGTTTTCAGGACCCTAGAGAACCTGGGGATATATGTGGACAGATGAGGAAAGGCCCCACAAACCACACGGGTTAAGGTAATAGAGTTCCCCTAACTTTCACGTCAGCCTGTGGTGATTCACCTGTCCCCAGGCAGTGGCACCCATAGAACTAGAGGCACAGCTGTAGAGTTCATTTATTGCCTCTCCCGGAAGGAGGCTGAGCGCCTGTCTCACACTTGTCTCCCTGGGGCCAGGCGTGGCTCTCAGATGCCAATTCAAGCCTGCCAACACACACTGCCTGGTTCCGTGTCCCTCCTCACACTGCCACATACATAGCCCTTGCTGTATGTCACGTAACATTTTGGGTATTTTAATTGGATTGTTTAAACCTCACAACTACCCTATGAGGTAATTGGTGCTACCAGCCCACTTTCCAGCTGAGGAAACTGAGGCACAGAGAGGTCAAGAGGCTTTCCCGTGTGTACCAGCTGGTGTGAGAAAAGCAGGGATTTGAAGTAAGGCCTGGTAGCCCAGCCTGTGCTCACCGGCTCCCAGCTTGCTGTGAGGCCAAAACTGTTACCACCAGATGCCCTCTTCTGCTTTAAAAGTCAGGAAACTGAGGCCCAAAGAGGCTGGGACTTGGCCAGAGTCACCTGTAAGACAGGTGGTTCTGGGACAAGCTTGACTGTCCCCAAACCTAGACAGTTCCTGCACCTCAGTGGGCGAATGTGTCTGTCCTGGTGGGGGGGTCGAACCTCCCCCCTCTGTAGGGGGTGTCTCTGTCAGTAGAGACTTCCCTGCATCAGCCTGCTGCTCCTTTCTGTCCTCCCAGAGTTGAGACACTCAGGCCTGGCTACACCTACTCTGGGAGTAGAAAGGTCCCTGTACTCCGGGGCAGAGCCTTGGCCCTGCGTCTGGGGTTTAGGGCAGTGATAGTCTCCTGGGTGGCCAGCCTGTCTTTGAGAACACCGCACCTGACGGCCAGGTAAAGTGAGGGACTTGCTGTTGCAGGCTTTAGATTTTAGGTCAAGTAACTTCTCAAGGTTGCTGTGCTCCTGGGTTGGGCAGTCTGCAGTTCTGAGGCAGCTGGGAGAATGGCCAAAGAGCCAGGGTCAGCTGCAGAGTGGGCTCTGCCCCTCAGAGGCGGGACCTTGTATTCCCAAGGAGTCTGAAGTTTTTCCTTTTGCCCCCTTTGTATGTGGCCTGCAGCCCTGTGGGTCTGTGGCAAGGGTGGCCTCATTCTCCCATGTCTCTCCTGAAGTCCCTGATAACTTGCTCTAACTGCCTGGGCCTTACATCTAGGCCTTCAGGCCTCTTCTTCCTGTGATCCGTCATGACACTGCCAGCACGTGCGCGCGCGCGCGCACACACACACACACACACACACACACACACAAACACAGAGCTCACTGAGGCTGAGGATGAGCTGTCAATAGACACGAGTGTGTTTTACTGCCCACTGCCATGGCCTTGTCACGAGGTTCAGAGGACGGAGCCTGCAAAGACTCTGCGGAATCTCCACGTGGGCATCAGCATGAGTGACTCCCCAGATGACTAAGTACGCTAGGATGCAAGGAAGGCAAGTAGGGTACTGCCTGAGGGGACACCCCCTTCTGAAACACCTTCAGGAGACCCTTAGCTGTCTGGAAAGAGGCAGTTTCTCTAGTTCACACCTCTTCCTGAAGCCCCGCGGTCCCCATTCCTCGCCTTCTTCTCCTGAGCCCTTGGGGAGGTCAGAAAGGCAAGGTTACAAGAGCAGATAGGAGTTGTGGAGACACCCCCAGCCAGAAGAGGTGCAGCTACGAGCTGCCCCTTGCCCCAGAGGTGGACAGGTGGCCCTGCCCCTGCTGCCTCTGGCCGGGTCATGTCCTGAAGGAAGCAGCACTGGGCCCTGCTCCAGCAGCCTCAGGGCTAACTTGGGCCTCTAGGGTGTGGCTACGAGGCCGGTAGTGAGTAAGGCCATGGCTGGCCACATCAGGACAAGCCCTTCCCTGCAGTCCTATGAGGCTGGATGGCAGCCAGCCTGTCTCTGCTGGGTTGGGGACACTCCCTGTTCTGAGGGTGGCGACCGCAGGGCTCCACCAGCAGTAAGGACCCCAAGACTCCCCAAGGCCCTCCCCACCAGGCCACCCCAGCATGCGTAGGTCTCGGGGAGCCTGGCATTTCCCAAGCATGCATAAGCACTATAATTAGCAGTGAACAAATTCATTTAAAGGCGTTTATCGGATTCCTAGAGGTTTTTGCCTTCATTTGTTTTCTCAATCAACAGATACTAGCAGCCTGAGTGCTATGTGGTTACTGGTGGGGGAAAAATTATGATGAAAAATGACTGCTTTCGGCTGGAGTATAGCTCAGGAATGACAGAGAACATAACATCCACGAGGACCTGGGTTCGAGTTCCAGCACCACAAATAGATATTGTTCTCTCACATGGAAACCTAAAGCAAGAAGGTTGACCTGAAAGTGCATGCGTGGTGGTGGGGGCCAGGAAGGGTGGCGTAGATTAGGGCCGCCACATGCACACTTTGAAATAGAACATGAATCCTATTTATTTGTATAGTTAACATGAGTTACTAATGACGGGAGTCCTTATGGAAGGGCTAAGGGGGCTTCTGCATTGGGCTGAGAGAGGCATAAGTTGGGGTGTCCAAGAAGTGACCAGGAGCAGAGGAGAGGTTTGGCTTAGCTTTAAGGAGCTTGACAAGGACCTGCTGATGGAATGCGTGTAAAAGGCAGGAGAGACAGGGCAGGAGAGGGCAAGAGAGGGCCACTGGAGGAGAGGGATGCTAGGCCGGGCTTATGGCTGCCTGAGTGGTCAAGGGAAGGGGCTGAAGAAGGGGAGTCCAGCCTCATCTGCTGGGGGGCGTAATCCCAGCCCCAGGGAAGCAGAGGCAGGAGGGTCCCTGGGATGTTCTGGCCAGCCAGACTAGTCACACTGGAGAGATGCAGGCTTAGCGCGAGAGCCCGTCTCAGAAAATAAAGTGGCTGCCAGGCATGGTGGCCTTTAGTCCCAGCTCTCAGGAGGGCCAGCCTGGTCTACAGAGTGAGGTCCAGGACAGCCAATGCTATAGACACAGCCTGCCTCAAAATGAAGAAATAGGAACTCCAGAGATGGCTCAGTGGTTAAGAGAATTTGTTGCTCTTGTATAGGACCCGGGTTCCCAGCACCTACATGGTGGCAACAGCCATCTATAACTCTGCTTCTGCGATCTGATGACCTAACTAAACTCTGCTGGTGCCAGGCATACACATGTAGCAGGAAAAACCTTCATACTCACAATTTTAAAAAATGAAAAATAGAGAGGTGATTAAGATACCTGACATGGCTCTCTGGCCTTCAGGTGCGCAAATGCACACATACACACACGCACACACACATACCCTATACATACACAAGTGCACACATATACATACACACGTGTGCACGTGTGGTTGCATGCGTGTGCGCACACACACACACACACACACAAGCTTGCTGGGACTTAGTTCAACCTGGGAAGGGGACAGTCCCACTCAGATTATGGAGGTACTGAGGCCTGCATAGAGACTGCGTCCTAAAAAAAAATCTCAGGTGTGGGGGAAGGGCCTCCTGTGAAGGACATTATTAAGAAAGAGACTGCAGTTGGGCCCAGCAGGCCACACATTTCAAAAGCCAAGTGGTTTATGGTCTGCTCTCTGTCTCCAAAGCTCTAACATACATTTCACAGGTCTCTCGGAGCAGGCGTTTCGGGACAAGTACCATTCAATGCCCTTGTGATGCCTGAGGGAACATCTTTTTAATCTATTAGAGATGAGAGGGCCCGAAACCCATTTAAAACCGCTTAGGTGGTAATGGGCAGGAGAGTTTCAGAGTTCCCCACGTGGCTGAGGGCCGTGCATTATCTGGGCCCATCCAGGCCGGGAAGGCCGAGACTTATGCTTCCAAGAAAGGGAATTAATGGCGTTTGCAAGTCCATTCTAAAACAACTCAGGGCCCTAGGCCTGTGCATCTTCCCCTTCCTGACTCCCTGACTGGGTGGGATCAATTCAGAGAGCGCTCTGGGGAGCTGCACGCGTCAGCTTCCAGGCTGTGACTGAAACACGTCTGCAGAGAACAACCGTTTCCCAGGAAGGCAGGATTTCCGGGCTCTCGGGGCCACGCACCCTATCCTTCAGCCCCAGAAACTTATTTCCGCACCAATTTCATTCTTTGAGAGGGGATTTCCCCTCTTTTTCTCTTAGCGTTTAAAATCTCCCAACATTCCTTCAGCTTCAGGACCGAATACAATTTTAATACCGTGATTATTAGTTCAGAAGCCCTTCAGCCGCTGACAAATGTTCTCAGCAGCCCCTGCAATGCTCTGAGCTGGCTGCTGAGACAGAAGAAACATGGGGAAGGCTGACAGCAGGAGGCAGGCGCCTTCGAAGGGTGGCTCTGCAGAGGCCAGGCTGGGGCATCTCTCCCTCACCAGTCCCCTCCCCGCAGACTTTGCTGCCCCTAGCATTAAGCTGTACCCAGGACCCTGGACACTGTTAGCTAAAACCTATGGGCATGTCTCCAGCCCCCAGCTCCTTCCCCAGACCTGGCGCCTTTCTCCACATAGCAGGATTGGTTCTGGGCTGGGGCAAGAGGTCTGTATGCGGGAGATATGGGTTTGCCAGCAGCTAGCATGACACTGTGCGGTGGAGACAGCAACAGATTCTGTTCTGCTGTTATTTGGGTTTGGTTCTGTCTTTGAGGCGGGGTCTCTGATGCAGGCTGGCTTTGAATTCATGATCTTCCTGCTTTCATTTCATGTTCATGCTTTTGAGACAAGTATCGTTCAATGCCCTTTTGATGCCGGAGGCAGCATCTTCTCAACCCATTAGAGATGAGAGGACCCAAAACGTATTTAAAACCCGTTAGGTGGTAATGGGCAGTGGGGTTTCAAAGTGATGGGATTGCAGGGGTGTGCTACCATACCCGATGTATGCCATGCTGGGGACTGGACCCTGGGCTTTGTGAATACCAGACAAGCACACTATCAGTCGGGCCACATTTCCCAGTCTCCAGCAACAGCTGTAAAGGTCAGAGCACAAGAGTCAGGCAGAACATGTGTGTGTGTGTGTGTGTGTGTGCGCGCGCGCGCGCGCGCGTGTGTTTGCATGCATGTGCTACGTGTGTGGTGTAGTTGTGTTCCTTCCTACCAGAGTCCTGCTCTGTCCATCTCTGGAAGGACTCTTAGGGAGACCTGCGAGCACACCTCACAAGTCCCCAGCAGAGGGCAGCAGCATCTATGCCGATGCCAGGAATGCCCAGAGAGGGATTAATGCTGTCTGAAAACTAAAGCCAGCACCCTCTCTACATCCAACAACCAGCAGGCATAATCTCAGGACATCCTGAGTTTGTCTGAACCTGTCCCCAAGTGCATTGCCTACAGCTGAAGTTCCCCTGCCCCACTGGCCAGGGGCCAACAGAGGCTGAGAAATGGCTACGCACAATGCAGGCGGACACAACACCTAATGCCATCCCAACCCTCACGCCCCCTCCCCCACCAGCCTGCAGGTCCCCTTCCTTAACAACCAGTGTTCATAAAGTTTATTGCTGTTCCCAGCGGCAGCTAGCGAACAAGACAGCAGCCATAAGGGCTTTTCTGCCTGGGAAGGATTTATTTAAGTGCCCTGCTCAGAGCAGGAGGGGCTACTGCTGGCCCCAGAATGCAGCCAAGAAGAGGACGGAGGATACTAGGAGCAGAGAAGGGTTTTTCTCAGGTTCCTGATAGAGTCCGGTGGGGTCTGGGTGCAAGAAACCCCCATAGGAGGGACTCCTACTTCAGACCCCCTATCTGTACCAAGAATGGTCTGCCCCATCCATGTCCTTTCTGTCCCACGGGCCAACAGTACCTTCAGGTGTGTGTGTGTGTGTGTGTGTGTGTGTGTGTGTGTGTGTGTGTGTGTGTGAATTAGAGGGTGCAGAGCCTCTGCAGATGAAGAGGAACCTTACAGGCGGGATCAGCGCTTGGTCTAACAAAGCTTTAGTCAGGTAAATAGCCTGATCCAAGTGCAGTGTGTCTTACGTCGGCAGGACCATGAAACTGGGGCTCCGTCAAGGCTCCATCAGGGCCGAGTGAGGTGCGCTAGGTAGGGAAGAGGCCTGTGCTGCCCGTAAGTGACTTCAGATTCCTTTAGTGTTAACTGCTGTTTGTGAAGTAAGTGTGGCAAGACTCTGAACAAGCGAGCAGAGTCAGGTGCGGATTGCGCGAGAGTGGCTGGCAGATTCCTCTGTTTTCCCGTAGGATCTTTTGTGAGGAAAAATTACAAAACTGGCGGCTTAAAAAAACATAGCAAAGCTAGGCATGGTAGCGCGTGCACACACCTGTGGTCCCCGAGCTTGGGAAGTGGAGGAGCATCTGGAATTCAGGGCTAGACTTGTTTACATGCTAAGTTCATGGCCAGCCTAGGTGACAGGAGACCCTACTTCAAAGGGGTGGGACTGGATACCCCTCCCATGTATGATCCTGAGATCATAGGGATGGCTCAGGTTCAGGTTTTGGAGTCCCTAAAGAGCCTGCAGGAACTATGGAGATGGGGGTCCCCAAGATTCCACCATTGTCTAAAGTAGCAGACATCTCCAGCCTTGGAAGTGATGTGGCTGTGTCTCCCATGAACATCTCTCAGTGGTGCCACCACCACTACTACCCTTCTGCTGCGTGTCCATGCCCCCAGGCCTCAGGACACTGCTCACAGGCACTGATGTCACCCAATCCCATGGCCCCACCCAGGAAAAAAGGTGGGGCAGATGGGACAGGACATGCTGAGCCCTGTCTCAAAAGAGAGACTTTCCTGGATGTGTGCCTCTAGGAAGGTTTAACCTAGTGTGGAGGAAATGGCTGGCTCCAGCCCTTCACCTGTAACCCACGGCCACCACTGCAGACATGGCTTGCCCATTTGTGGGCCAGGGGAAGCATAGTAGTGCACCCCAAAATAGGGAGAGAGGATCATGTTAGGGAGACGGGAAGATCGTCTCTTGTCCAATCGTTGCTTGTCCCAACCTCTACCCACCCCAGCACGCACGCACACACACACACACACACACACACACACACACACACACACACACACACAAGCACATTCCAAGCCACCAGCACTTCCAACAGGCCTATATCCCCTGGTGATCCCAGCCAGCCTGTAGGGAGGCTACCCTATAACAGGAACAGGCCTGTGGCCTTGATACCCTCTGTCAACCACCAAGAGCTCACCCTTCATCAAGCACTTACCGGAGCCTCCTTCCGGGGCTGTCAGGGGTACTCAGGAGGGACACTTTCTTCTCAGTGCTCTCCTCTGTCGACAAGTGTGGGACAAAGGCCTGGCCCAGCTCAGTACTCTGTACTGGAGCCCGGGTGGAGCTTTCTGCCCAAGAGAACTAGGCTGCCAGTGGCCTGGGTAGGGGAGGCCACCTGATCCCCTGGGGCTGGTAAGCCCAGCTGTCAGCTGGGTGTCCGCAGCTCTGGAGCAGGGCCAGGGGTCTGGGAGGGAGGAAAAAAGACTGGTGTGGGGGGGGGGCAGACGGGGAAGAGGGGGAAAGACGAGAAGGGAGGTGGGGAGGAGGGAGATGGGGAGGAGGAAGTAGGGAGAGAATTTAGCTCAGCTACTTTGAAGAATGACTGGCTCTAAGCACAAGGCACTAATCACTACCGGGCCCCTGATTACTTATTAAAAACATTTGAATATAAATGTGTATATATATGCATATGTATATATACACATATGCGTGCATATGTGAGGACACACACATGACGTGACATGCCTCTGGCGGTTAGAGTACAACTTGGGTTTCAGGGATGGAGGGAACTCCCGTGTCAGGCAAGACAGACAGCAGGTGCCCTTCCCCACGGAGGAGCCATCTCACTTGCCCTTTACTTGTTCTATGCTGAGGTAGAACCCAGGGTCCCAAACACAGTTCGCTTGCAGCCCTATTGCATGCTTGAGCCCTACTGCGAGCTCGCAGCCCTACTGAGCCCAGTCCCAACTTTCTTTGCTTCATTTTTTATATCTGTTCAGAATGACGGACAAGGCTGGGCTAGGCCACATCCTCTCTTCCACCTGGCTCCCCTGCTCCCACCCACTCCCAGCCACCTCGCAGTAGGTGGCCTCTAGCTGTGGCTGCTCAGCCAGCTCAGTCCCACAGTGAAGCCATCCATCCCTCAGCCAATTGGCAAGCAATTGCCTATCAGCACTATTGGAGGCCCCATGGTACCAGGCTCTCTTCTGGGCTGCTCAGGCCCTGGCAGACAAGCCTGGCAGAACAGAGACTGGGGACACAAAGGGACAGCAATTCCAGAAAGAGACACTTGGGTGGGGAGAGAGGGCAGCTCACCCAACCCAGGGGGGACCAAGAATAGACCTAGGAAATGACCATCTGACTGAAGGAGAAAAGAGGCAACGGGAAGAGGAGGGGAGAGGATGTCTGCGGCTGAGGGAGGAGTGAGGGCCTACCCAGGGCAGGGTGGGCAGCAGGGGGATGCCAAGGTAACCAGAGTGATGGCAGCTGGGCAGGAGCAGACCTCAGGCCCAAGCAGAGGAACCAAGGTGCTAGAACACATTACCCCGGAGGTCAGGAGCAGGCTTGCAGTGAAGGTTGGCTCTGCTCTGAAGAGAGGACAGTGGGAGAGTGACCACAGCTGTCCTCTTCCTGGTGGACTCAGAGTGGCCCAAGAGGGGCGGAGGGATAGAAGTGGGCTGAGGAGGCTTGGTGACATCTGTCTACTGATTCTCTGCCCAGGGAGAGACAGTGTGGGCTAGAGGACCCTGGCTCAGCTTTGCTTCTGTCCTTCAGGTTGCTCAGGCCACGCCCCTCCTAAGGCCTGGCTTGCCAGAGGTAAGGGTCCAAGTGTGCAGGGAAGCCTGGGCAGGCTGAGGGGACCCCTTCCTTCTGCCTCTGCCCTCTGACCTTTCCCCATCTCTACAAAGGCCTCCCCACGGTAGACCAGAGTGGGCCCCACCACAGGATGATCCCTGGTTGAAAGTGGGGTGGGGCAGTTAGGGGATCGCTCTGAAAAGTGAAAGGCTTACTTGCTGATCTTGGCCTGACCTTTATCCCACGCACTTAAAAACAATAAACAAACGAACAAAAACACCAATTGGGCAATTGATTCCACATATGCCAGCCTGTCCCCAGCCAGCCTGAGGTGGCATTTTCCAGGGAGGTGAGGCTGCTCAGCTCGGCCCTACCCATTGCACAGCTCTGGTTACCATCCTGGTTTCCTCAGTCTCCTCTGTCCCCTTGGCAGCTCTCTCCTGCCTGTTCTGGGAACCCTGGAGCCACCCAGGACTGAGCATCAGTCCCTTGAGGGCCTAGAACACACGAAGCTTCCCACCCAAGCAAGTGGCTAGTGAGTGGCTGAGTCTGGACTCAAACCCAGGTCTTGAGGAGGCCGCTACGTGCTTCCTGTTGTTCTGAAGAGCCAAGCCCCACCTGCTTTCTTTCTCATCTAATTAACACTGTCGGAATTCACTGTGCAACAGAAAGACACAGTTTTACCAAACACCAGAGCCGGGTGTGGGAGCTTCTATTACGTAATCAAGTAGGACACTTTATTTCTGTCCTTGGCCCGGCCAGGCTCTCTCTGTGCCATTTTTCCAAAGCCCAGCTTCACTTCTGAGATGCCTGCTGTCCCGCCTCTCCCCAGGACCCCCGTCCACCCATAGTCCCCTCCCCCTCACCCCCAGCTCTTCTGTCCAGCACTGACGTCAGTCCTGACTTGCACAACACTGTCTCCTGGGGACCACTGTGCTGATGCCACCTTTCGTGGTGCTGGGCTCACATACCCTCCCCGACTGTTGGCAGAACCATTCCTCTGAGGCACAGGGATGGACTGGCCCCCTGGGGCAGGCTGGATGTCCCTTGCAGTCACCTTTCCTAGCCCTCCACCCCATCATTCGACCGCAAGCATTTCTCCAATTGCTGCTGCTCCCTCGCCGGGCCCCCCCCCCCACCTCCTGCTCCTCGGAGTGACTTCACTCTGCGGGGCTCCCACACTTCCAAGCCACGCGCAGCCTCTCCCTGTTCTTAGAATAAGGTCTCAATCCTTCTGCAGTGCCCAGCCCTACCCACCTCAGTGGCATCTCCTCTCTTGCCAAAGCCCTGGTCTGGTCCCTCTGACCCCAGCGCCCTTCCCTCACCTCTCTGCCTAGATGGCTCCTTCTTATTCTGTAGATTCCAGCTGAGAGTCACTCTGGGAGGCCTTCAACCTCCTGACACACCTCTTACAGCCTGTGCGTGGTGGCTCCCTGCTCGTCCCTTCCCCTGGCGGGGGGTGGGGTGGGAAGTAGGGTGGGTGGGGGAGCGGCTCAGCACTGCAGCACCTGTCCCAGGGCCAGCTTTCCAGAAGGTGTTTTCTGAGTGACTGACTGACTGACTGACTGAATGAATGAATGAATATGTGGATTCGTTCTGGGTTCTGGCTTCTTCATGTCTGGCACGCAGAATGGGAGAGTACTTTTCTCTCCTTGGCTTCTGGTAATTGAGGCCCCAGGCTAGGTCATCACAGTCCCGAGGTGTCCCTCTGTACTGGCTGCCCCTTCTCTAGTCCCATGACCCAGTGTTCCAGCTCTCAGAACAACAACATCCATATCCAGGACATGTCATCGCCCTGTCTCGCCTCGTAAACATGGGTGGTTGCTGACCTGCCCATTACCGAGTTCCGGTAATGCCCCTCCTCCAGCCGTGTGTGGGGCTGCACACCTGGAATCCCAGCACTTGGGAGGTGGAGGCAGGAGAACCGGAATTCAAGCTCATCCTTGGCTACACAATGTAAGGCCAGCCCGGGACACGTGAGACCTGGTATCAAAAGCAAACAAACACTACCAGCCTTGGTTAGGCACACCACACCCAGCAGGGCACACCCCATTCCTTTATCATGCCATCAGGATCTTTTCTTTTTCGAGGGGGGTGGTGGTTTTGGGACAAGGTTTCTCTGTGTAACAGTCCTGGCTGTACTGGAACTCACTTTGTAGACCAGGCTGGCCTCGAACTCCCTAAGATTCACCTGCCCCTGTCTCCCGGGTGCTGGGGTTAATGGTGTGCGCCACCACTGCCTGGCTGCCACCAGGATCTTTACAAAGCTAGCATGAAGTTCACTTGATCCTTCACAGAGAGGAGACCTGGAGGCCAGTGGTCTGCAGTGCTCCCCACCAGCGCTCGAAGACCTGGCCAACCAGGTGCCCGGCCCCAGCTGGAAACATCCAGTCTGGGTATTGAGCTCCGCCCCAGAGCCTGCTGGGCTCCTGCCATGCTCTCAACAGTTGCAGCACCAAGACCTCCTGGGATTTAGATGACTGCAGCTGCTCCCCCACCCCCACCTGCTCCCACAAACCCAGGTGTCCACAAACTGCAGAGCAGGGGACTCTCAGGTTGAGGATCTGCTTGGGAAACACTTGGATCCCCCCATGGGTTATAGCATGGCAGGCCTGGGGTGGTGTGTGTGTGTGTGTGTGTGTGTGTGTGTGTGTGTGTGTGTGTGTGAGAGAGAGAGAGAGAGAGAGAGAGAGAGAGAGAGAGAGAGAGAGAGAGAGAGAGAGGAGGTGGGGGGAGGCCAGGTTCTGGGAGAGGGCGGGGTTAAAGACATTTGCATTCACACCTGCATCCTTGGGAGCACTGGTGAGTTCCAGCTGGGGAGAGTGGGGGTGGGGAGTGAGGCTGCTGCTTCTGGGCCTCACCGGACTCTCCCACTCCCACAACCCCCTGAGGTGAGGCCTCAGTCTTTTCAGCTGATGAATCAGGCAGAGACCTCCTGGTCCAGTGGGTTGGTGATGGAGCCAGGTTCTAACTGTCATGAGCCCAGAACCACACACAAATACCCTCAGCTGGGCATGGCGTCTCATCCTACAATCCCAGGACTCGGAAGGCTGAAGCCGGGGGATTGCCATGAATTTAAGGCCAACAAGACACAAACAAAAACTATAAAACCCAGCCAATCAGCCGCCACCGCTCCACACCCCAACGTCAGGGGACCATGAGTACGGAGCCAGCAGTTTACTATCCTAACTTCATGCAGCCACCGCTGGCCTGGGAGACGCTCTGGGCACATGGCTGCAGTGGGGCTTGCCAGGAACACTGAGCACACATGTGGGGTAACGGGCCTCCGGCTGAGGCAACACTGAAGACCAAGGTCTGTGATTTCCAAGCCGAGGCAGCTCTCAAGGGAACGGTCCCTGTAGCTCTTTAACCAACAGAGGAGCCAGCAAGTGTCCCCGAGGACCTGATTAAATTACAGCTGGCAACATTGCGATAATGTCCCTTGGCTCTTAAGCAATCCGTGAGGAGTGGTTTGTGAGGTCTCTATGGTGGCCAAAAGCCAAGACCATCTGTCGCTAAAATTCCTTCCAGGGGTTGTTGGAGCTTAAACAATGTTCACCCCTTCTCCTGAAGGTCCCAGGGACAAACTGAGGCAGGAATCTGCTGGTGTATTCTAGTGGGCCAAAGAGTTTT